CCCCTTCCTCCCTCCCCTTTTCCTCCCCTCTCCTCCTCTTCCTCCCCCTTCTTCCCCCTCTTCTTCCCTCCCCTTTTCCTCCCCTCTCCTCTTCCTCCCCCTCCCTCCCTCTTTTCTTCCCTCCCCTTTTCCTCCCCTCTCCCCCTCCTCCTCTCCCATTCCTCCCTCCCCTTTTCCTCCCCATCTTCTTCCCTCTCTTCCCCCTCCTCCTCCCATTCCTGTTCCTCCTCCTCTTCCATCTTGCTCTCATTCTCCTCCCTTTTCTCTCTTTTATTTTATTTTTGTGTTTTTCTCTTTCTGTCTTTAAAAGAAGAAATATATAATTTTATTTGACTCCAGAAGATGTCCAACTCCATGGTCCTATTGTTCACCACGCTGTCCTCAGCCCCTGTGATCAGAACATCACCATATTTTTTCCAATACAATTAGCAGTTTCTGAAACCATGTACTGTGCGTCCTCTTGATCAGAGACCAGTTGATAGACTTTCATTTCTTCTTTTTCATTATATATACATAACACACACACATATATTTGAGACAAGGTCTCACTATGTATCCCCAGCTAAAACTTGCTATGTAAACCAGACTGACTTACACTCACAGAGATCTGCCTGCTTCTGTCTCTGATTCATATATGCTGGAATTAAAGGTGTGCACACGTACAGCATCTAAGGCAGATATCTGTAGCAAAGGAGACAGTCTTGGACTGCCTTATGTCTCTGAATACTTTTTTTTAATTGAATTTTTGAGATTTTCAGAGTATAATTTGATGGTATTTAGATCCCCTCCCTTATCCCCACCTTGCCCCCCATATATAAGGCCTATAGAGTCTAATTTGTGTCCCCAGATGTCCTTTAGTATGGGTTAATTCATTGGAGCCTGGTTAACCTACCAAGAGTCCCATTTTTGAAAGAGACAATCTCTCTCCTTCCCAATAGCCATAGGTTGCCAAAAGTTCCTTAAGTAAGGTTGGAGTTTCTTATCCACTTCCCCATGCCTTTGCTGGAATTTTGTCTGGTTTAAGCTTGCATGGGACTTGGGCATGCTGTCACTGTTGCTGTGAGTTCGTATGAGTAACTGATCAGCTGTCTGGAAAGCTTTGTTTTCTTGTGGTCATCCATCACCTCTGGCTCTTACAATCTTTCTGCTCCCCCTTTCCGCAATGATCCCTGAGCCTTGATACAGCTGCCCTATTCAGGGATAAGCACTCTGCAGCCTCCTGTTCTGCGTATTAGCCAGTTGTGGGTTTCTGTGTTAATCACCATCTGTTGTGTAAGAAAACTTCTCTGATGAGAGCTGAGAGAGGCGTTAATCTATGGGTATAACAATAAAGCATTAGGATTCAGTTTAATACAGTAACTTTAGTAGAAAACTAGTAGTAGGCTCTCCTGTATGTCAAGTCTGGCCTCAGCTTCCTAAGCCTGAT